CGTGGGTCCGAGTTAGTATTGGGGCCGAGTTAGCATGGGTCCGAGTTGGTCGTGGGTCCGAGTTAGTTTGGGTCCGAGTTGACTCGAAACCCACGTATTGACGGTGTGTTGACGCTGATTAGTACGACCCGACTAGCATGACTACGCTAGGCCCTAGTTAGCCAACGATCACACCCAACAAATTTTTCAAACACTAAGTGTTAAATGTTATCAAAACAAGTTTCATCTCATGACATTTAGATACTATAGATTTTTTGGTCAATTTTCGCTCAAAATAAAACTGGAAAAATAATTTACCTGCGATTTGTCACCCATTCTGCTGCTTCGGAGAGCTCTTCACGTGCGTCTAGAAGTTTCTACATGACCAGTGATCGTTTTCCTTTTAACCATGTGTCTGACGTCAGGTTCTCAAATAACGGTTGCAAGAACAGTTTCAACTGTGAGCTTGTTTCGGGAGCGCTCTTGCATATTAACCGGGATCGAGTCTGAACATCATTTGCAGCCTCGTCTGCATGGTATTGTGCAGTGCGCCCCTTGACTAGTCATATGTACCTTCTTCCAACCAGCGCTAGAATCAACTAGAAAAACCCTGGGGGTTGAAAATGACACGCTGCTGAAAACGTTGCATATATGGCTCGAAAACGTGGAAATGAACTGAATAGACTGGAGCTCCGACCTCAAACAATGTGAAAGAGCAGTCGACTTAGGGGTGCGGTTGACCACTGATTCAAGCCTCATTGAAAACAGTGCAAATCGGCATTGTTCGGGGCCATTAACCGTCATGCGTACCAACATCCCTGAGGTTTCTGAAATTATTGTATGGTCCATAATCTTTCAGTTTCTTTGAATTTTTTTTCGGTTAACAGATAATATTTATGGTTATTAATCAGTTAAAATCAAAATTCAAAATTACCCCCCCCCCGAAAAGTAATTTCTCCGAAGTCTGCTTGCAGCCATTTTTCAAGTGGCAACCGTTGGCCTCAACTTTTTGGGCACTGAGGACCATTTTCAACCGTATTTTTAGCCATTCTGCTCTCAGACGAAAGCCCAAAGGCCCAGTAAGTTGATCCTGGCAACGATTTACACAAGTTCACCATTTTGGGGGCCCGCGATCTCCTTTTTCTAAAGTTACTGCGAGCGAGGCATTTTTAATGCTAGTGAATAGCGGCCAGAAATTCTCACTTGAATTAGGAGAGTGCACCCTAAGATCGCTCGTCGTCCAGCCTGAGCCAGAGCCCGAACAGGGCTGGGGGGGGGGGCTGATGGCTTCGCACAGATTTTATACGTCACTCGGGGTCACATCATAACCACTGATATCACGGACGTATATAAAAAAAACCCCTGGACTTGCAACGCCTTTGTATGACATAGAAGCCAACCACTGGCTATTTTACCGAGCCGCGCGAATACAAATGTGCGGGTTGGCTAGCTTCTGTTGACGCCAGGGAGAACAAAGCCCCCTTTGTTCTCCCTGCATTGCCGGGCAAGCTTTGTATTCGGCTCGGTCAAATGGCCGCGAGTGGATTCAATGATCTCTAGAAGCTGATTAAGAGCAATGCGAGTCCAGACTTTTTTAATATACGTCCGTGACTGATATCGCTACACACGTGCAGGGCATTGTGAGTAATTTCGCCAGGCGGCGAGTTCGCTCAATGTGGCTGTTAGTGTCAATTAGAGATTTTCCTCATTTTCCACCGACCGACCGACCAACACGTACATCAGAGGATGGCGCCCCACCCGCCAAAAAATGAAAAATGTTGTGGTAGATAAACTTATATAGTGAACAAAAACTATTTCTTATTCATAATCGAAGTTTAAAAAGGGATTGAACTACACTCGTAACGGTTGGTCCTGCATCTGATTGAAGTTAATTTGTTGGTATTTCTCAAGCTTTTTATTTATTTTATTCCTAAAAGGGGGCAGCCACTCTCTATGTGTCATTTACTCGAGGAGTGATTTTCCAAAGTTCAAGGAAAGTGATTCAAGTCTATCTAACAAAACAGGATGTTGTATAATTGACAAATAACACTATAATAAGAATGTACTTTACAATAGCCAGCCGTAAAAATAATGTGAAAGACTTTCCGCTGCAATTTCTCCAGGCACTCCGCCCACAGAACCAGACAGGTGAGGTATTCTCAAGAGTGGGTCGAATGTGCTGGATGTAGATCATCAACAAATTATTAACTGGAACATTACACCGTTAAAGTGGAAGCAGAAAATACAATTTTCTGTTAAACACTTTAGACATGTAGGTTACATGTGTGTCCCACTTCAAATTCTCCTTTACACGAGTAGTAGAG